CTTGGATTTATTGGCACGAGGCATTTGCTTGGATTTATTGGCACGAGGCATTTGCTTGGATTTATTGGCACGAGGCATTTGCTTGGATTTATTGGCACGAGGCATTTGCTTTCTAAAATAAAATTGCGTTCAATGTGGAAAATCCACAAGGGAATTAACGGATGAAGGTGGTTCTTCGGATATGACCGAGTATAAAATTGTGAACAAATCACAGCTTCACCGATTCCCTCCAAGTTTCAGTTGGTGCATGGATTTCCACAAAGAGAGTCGAGTTGGAAGCTGACGGCCCCTTTGGACTCCTTGCAAACTTTCCGGCGGCTTTGTTAGTCTTCTGATGACCCCGTGATCTTAAATTTGGGCCGAATGCTGGCGGGCGGCACGGCATTCAGGCGATTGAAAGAGGCTTTCATTGAGATTTTATTCGTATAAATTTATTATATTATATTATTTATTAATTATTCAGCTCCCCTACCAGGGACCGTGCCTCTCTCGGTCTGGCAGGAAGTACCCCGGGTAGAAGTACTTTGTTCGACGGTCATTTCCAGATTTGAGCCCCATGATGACGTCATTCATCACCGAAATGGCTCTTTTCCCGATTCCACCTCAGAATGGGAGCAGGACGCACCCTCATCATCTCTTAATCTCTTAATCTCTTAATCCGCATCGAGTGAAACCCCAATTTGAGCCATGCTTCACGCTTAATAGAAGCTTCTCTGGATTGCTTAATCCGCTTAAACAAACTATTTGGGAAATGCCCGTGTCTTCCATGGCGTTCTCGGCGGGAAAAGATCAAGTACCATTTAAAAGACACATGGGTCTTAACCCCTTAACTAATTACTAATTAATATTACGGGCCAGTTGTTTTCGGCGTGATATTACGCTTAACTTGAATAAGAGTCTGCTAGCCCTCTGCTAAGTGGATATTTTTGCAACTCTACGCTCAGTTTCTCGTCACATTTGACCGGAACTATTTTTTTATATTTAACTATATTTATATATAGTTTTATTAAATTAAGTTTTATTAAATATATAAACTATATTTAATAGATATATATTTCAGAGGAGGCTATTTTGTTCTTGCAATCGGGAAGACATGGCTGCTGATGGACCTAATAATAGTAATTAAAAAGGGACACAATGCTGGTGTTTTGTCGTGATCGCGATGAAATTGTTGCGAAAGAGTCAATAGGGATGAGGAAGATCAACGGGGAAATATTGGCGCTTGGAGCATGACAAGTTGAATATTGAAATATTGAAATATTGAAATATTGAAATATTGAAATATTGAAATATTGAAATATTGAAATATTGAAATATTGAAATATAATGCCAGCTTTTTTTTTCATTGCTGTGACGGAAGCATTGGCGGAGCTCACTGTGGATGGAGCCGATCGGTATGCAAATTACTGTTGCAAGCGAAATCGGCCAGACAGACCATTCATTGACCATGACGGAAGCCAGAATTACACAAAGGACATTCGACGGATCGGTGTTACTGCTGGAATTTCTGCACAAAAATAATTATAAGATGGTTCTGATTTGCATTTGAGTTTTTCAGTAGGAGAACATAATTCCTTGGATCTTGCTGTGTTTATTGCTATTTTTTTTGTGAAAATCCTTCGCGTAGTTTTGAAGCTATTGCACGTTTCGTTCGGCGGTGCACATATAAGAAAAATTCCATCAGAATTTTAAAAAGCAGGGAGAGTTAGGAGACCTTCCGAAATTGAAACAGCTAAGGGGTTAAGATGATGACTCGCTCCCCGGTCACACGGAAAATAGCGGGGCCATTTCGCATCGTCTGTGGAAGCTCGAATGACAAAATAACTCTTTTATACTATTTTACCATGCATGAGAGAGAAGGAAAAGGCGAGGACGAAGGAACTTACAACGAGTCCAGTTGCCGTAGGGGATTCCGAGAGCGACGGAAATTAAGTAGTCTCTGCCTCGGGAGTCGTCGGGCCGGATCTGCAGGATGTCCCTGCCGTCTTCCCGTCGCCATTGGATCTTGGGAGGGGGGTTGCCGCGGGCGCGACACGAGAGTCGCGCGTCTTCGCCCTTGTTCACCGTCAGGTCGCCGCTGCTCTCGTCGTCGACGATGTCCGGAGACTCTTATAAAAATAAATTTATCGGTTATCTTGGCGGAAGCGAAGACAATCGGCGCGATCGCGTTTCCGCACACTGACTTTGCACGACGAGGCATCCCACGCTCTCCCGCGTTTCGACCTTGCAGGCGTAGCAGCCGACGTCCTCCGGCGACACGCGTCCGATGCGAAGCGACCAGTTGCGGCCGTCCGACGACACCTGGATCCTGGCATCATCCATCAGCACCTTATCGTTCCGAGTCATCACCGTCTCGCCCCGGACCCAACTCACCTGCCGAGACGAGAAATCATCCGGCATTTTTTTATTGTCTCATTTTTCTCGCGAAAAATGAGACAAAAATGAGACCTCGCCGTATCCAAGGTCGTCGACGACACAGGAGAGCACGGCATCGCCGCCGAACAATACCGTCACATTTCCGACCGGCGACACGATTCGAGTCGCCTCTCCTCCCGCAGCTCCTACGGAAAAAAAAAAACGCATAATGGCTGCTTCGAATTTACTCCACATTTTGCTTATTTTGCCACAAAATCGCAACCTACTCTATTGAAGACATTCGATGAGTGACACAAACGGATAGGCATCAACTATAGTTCCATTTACCGCATTTACAATTTCGATTTCCACCACATAAAACTAAAGCAGATTGGAAATATTGGTTCATGTTAACTCTTTCGATGTATAAACGCAGGGTGTCTCATAAAGTCGCGCATCGTAGGGAAATAGTCTATTTAATTTAAGTAATTTATTTAATTTATTTAATTTATAAAATTTGTTATTTTATTTATTTTATTTATTTTATTTATTTTATTTATTTTATTTATTTTATTTATTTTATTTATTTTATTTATTTTATTTATTTTATTTATTTTATTTATTTTATTTATTTTATTTATT